GCCTGCTTGGGATTCTCTCTCTTCCTATCTCTCTCTTTCTCTCCCCTGCTTGTGCTCACTCTCGCTCTCTCTCTCGCTCTCAAAATAAATAAACTTAAAAAAAAAGAAAATACTTGCAGCTGAATGCCTCTACACACAAAGGATAGGGCTGGACATCCTCAGAACAGGAGGAACTTCAGCTGTAAAGTCTGAGGGATCTGATTTCTTCTGCTGGTTGGGGGATCCTCCATCTGATATGATCAAGGCTGTAGGAACAGCAATTTACTCATATAGAACCATCTCTAAACCACCATGGACACACGCACTACATCAGAGAGTTTTTGGTGTTAAGGACACAAACCCTTGGGCATAAGTCAGGATATGTTCCCCCTGTAGGGAAAAGCTCATGTAGTCAATATCCCTGGCTATAGATCTGTGCAGGGCCATCCTAGTGTAGGAAATCACCCCATCTTCACATAGAGAGATTCTCCTGTGAGGTCTTTGCATTTTCTCTTTGTAGGAAGGTAAAGTAGAAATGAATACATCCTTCACAAATGTATCCTAGATATTACTATCATGCATTTGGGGAGAACACTTTGTCATGTTAATACCTGAAAATATTTCTTTCTTTCTTTTTTCATGAAGGTACTTCTTAGGTTATCACTCACTGTTCCTTACAGGAAATAATTCAGCCATGAATTCATAGTACACATCAAGAACAACAGCTTTTGCAATGAAAGGCCCAGGATTTCTGTTCTCAGAACTTGAAGGCTGCAGCTGCATGTCATTTAATTGGGCTATTTTATTAAGTCAGCACACACATATATATAGGAACATGGGAGACTTTGCAGAGAAGTTTTCAGTGACACTTGGTGAAGATGTGAAATGAGGGTGAGCCATGAAGATAGCTGGAGGAAGAATACTCCACGAAGAGGAAAGGATAAAGGTCCTAAGGTAGGAGTGTGTCTGGCTTGATCCAGAAAGAATAAAGAGGTTTCTATAGCAGAAGTATTCAGAGTAAGAGTAGAAGGTCAGAGCCCAATTTGAAGCACTGGGTATGAGAAGGGTATCCATGAGGGTGGGTCGTATATGGCTTAGGGGTCTTGAAAGAGTTTGGTCTAGTTCTGTGTGTGTGTTGGGAGCCAATGACATATCTTGATCACAAGAGTAACATCACCTGACTAGAGATTTAGATGATGGTTTAACTCTCCAGATGCTGGGTAGAGAAGCAGAGACAACAGTAGGGAGGCTGCTGTGAACCATAAATGCAACCCAAGAAGTACATTCTCAGGCCAAACAAATGTGATGTGGGAAGCTAGAGGGGAAAGATCACCTAGCATGAGGGTCACTTCAATGACAGAAGCAGGTTTGAGCTAAGCCCTGAAAGACAGCAACATTTGATGATAAGAGGGGTGTGAAAAAAGACAAGTCAGATCAATGGAACAGTGTGAGGCAAAATCAAAAGGGGCAAACAGAAGTCATATTTAGCAGTCTGCAGGTGTCTGTTGAGGTGGAATGTAGGAATTATTTAGAATGGGCTGGGGATGAAAAGCTAGAAAAGGAGAGAAGGGCCATACCTGGACTTCAATAGGTTACAAGTGGAGCTCTGCTCGCAGTCTTGAGAAATGGCATGGCCCACAGAGAGGTGCTCTGGAAGGTGCCTACAACTTGTGATGCACGAGAAGGTGCTTAGGTCAGGACCGTTGCATGAATACTGGCAAAATGAAGATGCCTTAAATACAGTGGTGACACAAGGGAAGATAATAGAGTCCGTTGTAAGAAGCAAGACTCTCCATTAAAGGCAAATCAACAGGACCAGGAGAAAGTTTGACTTCAGGCACATAGCGTATTCTGCATAGATCGTTTAGAACTTGAATGATTGGGAGAGTAAAATACATTAAAGAAATGTGATGATAATAATGGATATTACTTTTCTAACACATGTAAGTGAAAATCAATGCTTAGTTGTTTTCTTATTTGATGTGTAAGAAAGAAATATGATGGTATAAGTTCTGCAGAGAATTGGAAGTTTGAGGCAGTGGCTGGGGCTTGGGAGGGGTGTCTGCAATCTAATGATTTTTGGTGTCATTTGGAGAAACAGGTAAGTTGATGGATTCTTATTCTCCTCCTCTTCAGCCTTATGGTAATCACTCACAAGTCTTTCCTTGAGTTTCATAAGTTCAGAAATATAAGTTTAATTTTCATCTGGTTTCAGGAATTCCATTTAAACTAATCACTTCATAAGGCAAGCACTTAACATGATCAGATATTCATCTGTGATAAGAGTTATACCTTACAAGAAGCCACAATGGCAAAAGGATTTACTAGTTTTAAGAGTGTAGATTATGGATCAGAAGGCTGTGCAGTGACCCAAGAATTACATAAAGAAAATTGGAAGTTCTTAACTGAGAATTTTTCTTTTTTTTTTTAATTTTTTTTAATGTTTTATTTATTTCTAGGAGAGAGAGAGAGACAGTTTGAGCAGGGGAGGGTCAGAGAGAGAGGGAGTCACAGACTGAAACAGGCTCCAGGCTCTGAGCTGGCAGTCAGCACAGAGCCTGACGCGGGGCTCGAACCCACGAACCGCGAGATCATGACCTAAGCGAAAGTCGGACGCTTAACCGACTAAGCCACCCAGGTGCCCCTTAACTGAGAATTTTTCTAAGATAAGGTAGCTTGCCCCTCTTAGAATAGTTTTTGCCCAGAAACAGCCTGATATGATAAGTATCCAGAACTTCCGTTCCAAATGTCTCTAATCATGTATTTAACAACCATGTAATCTTGGGCACTCCAAACAACTCTTGAGAGCCTCATTTTCCTCATCTGTAGAAGAGGGTCTATTTAATAATCAATCTCACTGTAACTTCACTGCAGGATTTTACCATGAGGTCAAATAAAAAAATGGTTGGGAGTACTGTGGGATACAAGAATTGAATTTATTTTTTACTGATTGTGAATTGCCTGTCACTAGAACCAGGAAGAGAGCCCTGTCACTTCTCAACAAATGAGAGATGGACTGACAAACTCAACATGTGTGATTCATTGTTTCTAGGCAACTTACAAATCCCCACCTTTCTTTTCTTTTCATCATCTTTCTTATATGACAAGATCACTTTTAAAATAGTGAAAGCCCAGTTTATTTATATCAATAATCAGAATTTAAGATGGAACATGAAAGGATGTGGTAGACAGCCTATAAGATGGTCCCATTCATCCTCTTTCCTGGTATTCATGCCCTTATGCTCTCCTCCCGTGAGTGTGGGATAGATTTGTGATTCACTTCTAGATAATAGAATTCAGTTGAACTCATGCGATGTCACTTCCAGTACTAGGTTGTAAGACTGGCTTCTATCTAGGGTGGTTTTCATTCTCACTCTCGCCAGGATCATTGCCTTGAAAGAAGTCAGCTACCATGGTGTGAGGCAGCCCCATGAAGAGGAACCAAGGCCTACAAACAGAAACATGAGTGATCTTGGAAGTGGAACCTCATCAGTCTAGCCTTGAGAGGACTGCAGCCTGTTTGACAACTTCACAATAACCCTCTGAGAGACCTTATGCCAGACACCCAGCTAAGCTTCACTCATATTCCTGACCCATAGAAACTGTAAGATGATAAATGATTGTCATTTTATTGAGAATGCTAAATTTTGGAGCTATTTGTTACACAGCTAATAGCTAATTAGTTATATTAGCTAATAGATAGCTAATACAAATTTAAGGAAAAAGACCACAGTGCTGTGCCACTTGCAGAACCATGAAAATGCCAGACAGGGCAGTACTGAATGAATAAGGGGACAGGTGAAATTAGAAAGAGGCTAATAAAAGAGAGGAGAAGCCTAAAAACTGGAAATATCTTTGAGGGAAAAGACAATACTCCCACTGAGTGAGAGAGTGGGGACAACAATAAAAGAAAGAGTTGTGTCAGAATAGTATGATGTTTTCCATTTAATTACTTATAATCATTTATTATTTTATTTTCCTTGGGTTCAGATAGTGTGACTATTCTCAAGGGGGTTTTAATATTCATAGCTTTTATTTCTTAACTTGGCTTTTGTTCATGTAAAATTGGGTCATGTTTCTTTATTATGTTTCTTAGTAAGATATTTAGTGAAAAATTATTGACCAAAGATCAAGAGAAATCCCTTTTAATGGCATGCTCCAATAATTTAATTGGAATTTTTATAAGGCCATGAGTAAAAGCCATGTCCAAGATATTAGTTAGAAATATTTTGTAAAGAAAGCTCTTTGATGTCTACTAAAGACAACTTAGGTAAGTAGATATTACCTGTTTATTTACTTACCTAAGAAAAAGATACTGAAGATATTTTTACTGAAGCCTAATTCTGGGATTATTTTTAAAAGTTCAGCACAAGTGAAGACCTCACTGTTCTTAATAGGTTTGGGCACCAAACTGTTGCTTTTTCACATTGGCCTTGTGACTTTCCTGTCACCCCTGTCACCCCCAAAATAATTGACAATAATGGCATCTAATTGTGACTCTTCCTTCTCATATGAGGCATGAAAGATGCTTCCTTTATCAATATTATAAATATACCAGATTGGCTAGCCTGATAACACTCTCAGAACATAAAGAAAGATATACAGGCTAAAGAGCACTCATGCTTCATACACTTCCCTTCCATTATGCATATAAATGGTCTTTTGGGCTGAGATGTACAGCCCTGTTTGAGATAGTTTACCAAGTCTGTCTGATATCATAAAATACTCAATATAATATGATAAAGTCAAGACTTTGATTGCAGAAATGATAAATTCTTCCTAGATAAGATATACACAAATACAGATACATGATCCATTCTATAAACTAGGATGACTCTTATTGCTGCTAGATGAGAATATGAAGGAGTGTCCCTTCTATATCAGCTTAGGTTGTTGAAGTCTCATGCATTACAAACAAAACAGGTGGCTGAAGATGTAGAACGCAGAGGTAATATAGAAATATCAGTCAATCCAATATTTTTTGTTCACACTCTTAGGTGACCAGAAACATCAACTAAGCCATGGAGATATGGTTGAATCAATCATCTACAGATGACTTCATCCTCTTGGGCATTTTTTCTCACAGTCCAACTGACCTTGCCCTCTTCTCTATGGTTATAATGGTCTTCACAGTGGCCCTCTGTGGGAATTTCCTTCTCCTTTTCCTCATCTATGTAGATCCTCGACTTCACACACCCATGTACTTCTTCCTCAGTCAGCTCTCCCTCATGGACCTCATGTTGGTCTGTACCAATGTTCCAAAGATGATGGTCAACTTCCTGACTGGCAGGAAGTCCATCTCCTTTGTGGGTTGTGGCATACAAATTGGCCTCTTTGTGTGTCTTGTGGGATCCGAAGGGCTCTTGCTGGGACTCATGGCTTATGACCGCTATGTAGCCATTAGCCATCCACTTCATTATCCTGTCCTCATGAATCAGAGGGTCTGTCTCCAGATTGTTGGGAGCTCCTGGGCCTTTGGGATAATAGATGGTGTGATACAGATGATGGTAGTAATGACTTTCCCCTACTGTGGCTTGAGAGAAGTGAACCACTTTTTTTGTGAGATGCTATCCTTGTTGAAATTAGCCTGTATAGACACATCCATTTTTGAGAATGTGATATATGCTTGCTGTATCTTCATGCTGTTTCTTCCCTTCTCCATCATCGTGGCCTCCTATGCTCGCATTCTGAGGGCTGTGCTCCACCTGCGCTCTGCTCAGGCTGGTAAAAAGGCTCTGGCCACCTGTTCCTCCCACCTAACAGCTGTCTCCCTCTTCTATGGGGCAGCCATGTTCATCTACCTGAGGCCTCGGCGCTACAGGGTGCCTAGTCATGACAAGGTGGTCTCTAGTTTCTACACAGTCCTTACTCCTATGCTCAACCCCCTCATTTATAGTTTGAGAAACCGGGACGTGATGGGGGCCTTGAGGAAGGGGCTGGACCATTGTAGGATTAGCAGTCAGCACTGAACACAACACAGGGCATACTGTGTCTGGCAACGCCATTTCCCAGTTCTGTGAATTCAGGTAAATAATCTTTATGTGAGGCCCTGTTTCGTCATTAATAGTTATGATCAGGGGCACCTGGGTGGCTTAGTCAGTTAGGCATCCAACTGTTGATTATCAGTTCAGGTCATGATCTCACTGGTTCATGAGATCAAGCCCCGCCCTTAGCTCTATGGTTGGGATTCTCTCTCTGCAAACACCCCAATTGCGCTGCACTGTCACACTCTCTCTTTCTCTTTCTCAAAATAAATAAACATTAAAAATTTTTAATAAAATGAAATAAAAATCGTGATGATCATAACACCTGCAGGCTTGGGGATGTCTTTTTAAACCCTAAACCCTCTCTATGTCGAGTGAAAAACCAGGTTTTTTTAACCCAATATTTTGTGAACTAATTCATTTTTAAAATATAATACAATGGAATGTAAGACTTTGTAAATTCAAACACTGTGCAGAGGTAAGTCATTGGGATTATTATCATTTATTTTTTTAATTTTTTAATGTTTTATATATTTCTGAGAGAGAGACAGCGTGAGCAGGGGAGTGTCAAAGAGAGGGAGATACAGAATCTGAAACAGGCTTGAGGCTCTGAGCTAGCTATCAGCACAGAGCCGGACGTGGGGCTCGAACCTACAGACCATGAGGTCATGAGATCATGAGATCATGAGATCATGACCTGAGCCAAAGTCGGACGCTTAACCGACTGAGCCACCCAGGCACCCCAATCACTTATTATTTAAAACTGGAATAAGGGCACCTGGGTGGCTGAGTCGGTTGAGCGTCCAGCTTCAGCTCAGGTCACAAACCAACTTGACAATAAACTATTTAAGTAAAAAAAAAAGAAAAATTAACTAGCCTTTGGTGAAAGAAAAAGAAAAAGGGATTCCCAGCTATGCCATCCTTTCTATCTTCTGCCCTGGACAAGCTTTCCAGTCTCTCTGTGAATCAGTGTTCTCTGTAAAATGGGGGTAGTAGTACCTACTTCAGAAGGTTGCTCTAGCAGTAATATGAGTGAAGTCTATGAAGCACAAAGCCCAGTACATAGCAAGACTAGGTGTTAGATCTTGCCTATTATTAATCTTAGCAAAGGCATGCTGGTAAAGATGGATGTGTTGGGAGTTGGTGTAATGGGCACTTTGAAGGGTAGTAGGAAACATGCAGGCAGAGAAAATGAGCCATGATTGTTGGAATCTCAAAAGCCAAACCAAGGAGTCTGGTCAGAGTCAGCTGGCGAGAAAGGGGCTGGAATGGAGAAACTGACAAATGCTGCTGAGAGTTCCTAATAGGATGAGGCTCTCCTTTCCCCACCCAACACCCACCACTATTCCTGAATTTCTTGGGACTGCAATATGTCCACCTACCTCTTGAAGATCTGTGGTAGCTATTAGAAGTCCATAGGTCTAGGGGCGCCTGGGTGGCTCAGTCGGTTAAGCATCCGATTTCGGCTCAGGTCATGATCTCACGGTCTGTGGGTTCAAGCCCCGAGTCGGGCTCCGTGCTGACAGCTAGCTCAGAGCCTGGAGCCTGTTTCGGATTCTGCGTCTCCCTCTCTCTCTGAGCCTCCCCTGCTCGTGCTGTCTCTCTCTCTCAGAAATAAATAAAAAGCATTACAAAAAAATTTAAAAAAAAACAACAACGAAGTCCATAGGTCAGGAGACATTATACCTAGGGCAACCTGGTAGGACAATTCTTGGCTTCTCTACGGAGCAGGCATATTCACTCCCAGCACCCCTTTCCTTCCCCCACCCCCAGGGCCATCCAGAAAAGTCTAGTCTACTTGGTTCTTTCTGTGTGTGGTCCTGAGCTAGTACCTAAGGGTGACACATAACACTTCACATACTATAAAACAAAATAAAATAAATATCACCCTTGCCATCAGCTCACATTCACCATCCCACAAAGACAACAGCAGGAATGAAATGGTGTGAGAGGCACCCACAAATACTTTAGCCTGTCAGAGTCCCTCAGCTCAAAAGGATGTAGAGGCTTTGGATAACCCCACATGAGGGGCAGAGTGGAAAGGCCATTATAGAAGGAAGGGAAAGTGGTCAGGGGAATAGTGAAATTAATGGCTAGTCAGCTGAGGTTCCAAATGTGTGAGAAAAGCAACCAGCTGGGACTGTGGTGTCAACCTTAAAAGTAAGCAGCCAGTTATTTTGCCAGAAAGAAAAAAGGATTTATTCAGGAATAGCAGAGAAATTTTTATTTAGGACAAACAAACTATAGAAAAAGACATAATTAAGTCCCAAGATCAAAGAAGAGGAATCTTACTGTAGAGAGTAATGACAAGTTGGGAGGGACTGCTTTGAATGAAAATCTACTGGAAGAAAACAGGAGTTCAGGGTGGTAATGGTTTCTCATTGGCTGAGTTGAGGTATTTTCCTATTGTCTGAGCTTGTTGCTGGACAAAGAGAAATTTTTCCTTCTTCTGGGAGTAGTAAAGTAGGTTTCTTGTTTGGGAATGCAAGGTACTTCTCTTCCTGTTGGAGTCTATGGACCAGGAGTGATGGCACGTGAGAGCTCCCCCTTCTGGCCTCCCCACTCCATTTTATTTGTTTGTTTATTATTTTTTAATGTTTATTTACTTTTGAGAGAGAATGTGAGCAGGGGAGAGGCAGAGAGGAGAGGATGGGGGTGGGAGGGACAGAGGACCCCACCCAGACTCTGCACTGACAGCAGTGAGAGCGATGCAGGGCTCGAAGTCATGAACTGTGATATCACAATCTGAGACAAGGTCGGACATTCACACCACTGAGCCACCTAGGCGCCGCTCTCCACTCCATTTTAAATGAAGTTTCTTTTATTCAGTTTCACAATAGGCTGGAATCAGACTCTGGCAAGTTAGGTCTGAAAAAACTGAGCACCATCTGGGGCTTCATAGTAGGCAGTGACCCCTCAAACTGTCTCCTTGGTACATGTTTCCAAGAAATCCTCCAGGGTGGGGTGGGAATCAGGATTTTCAGCATAACTGGGGGTGGGCAGCTGTGTGGAAAAGCTGAAGACACACACGGGAAAGGGGAGAGATGGGAAAAGATTGAAGGCACATGCCATTTGCACATGTACAAATCCAGGCCAGCCTACAAACATGCTAACATGTCAGAAATGTCAGGGGAGGGAAGTGAGCAGGCCGTGGGTGTAACAGAGAATAAATAACTGAATTTAAAGAGGTGAATACATTTAAAAACTAGAGAAAAGACTTGCATAGATGAAGCAGGAACAGAAATGAACTGAGGAATCTGATCAGCTCTGGGCATGAAGTCTCAAACAGGTGTTTTCAAATCAGGGCCCAGAGTCAGGTGATCAGGAAGGAAAGAGGTCAGTTATGACCCAGATAAGAAACATTCCCACTACCTCATCCTCATAGAGGCTGTAGGATAGAGGTTGCCCATGGTCAGCCTAGTATTTTCCTGGTCTCCGCACTTGTGAAAACTGGAAGCAGGGTACACTGTAGGCATTTGACAAAATAACCTCTACATGTTATTCTCTCCATTTCACCATGGCACTTTACACCATTCAGTTTGGTTTCTGGAATTCTTGCCTTTGAGGACTGGCTGATGAGAAGGACTTTTCTGGAAAGCTGACCCTGATTCTGCCATAATGGGAGTTAGTGGGGGCCCAGTCTCCTCATGTTCTCTCTGTCTTCAAGGATGCCCCTATGGGTCCTTCTGAGACAATTTCCATCTTTGTCCCAAACCAGAGCGGGGGAATCAGTGCTTGGAAGAGCTCTGACGACAAACAGCTCTTTCTCTGAACTCCTACTGTGTCCCAGGCCCAGGCCAAGAGCTCCAGAGACCAATTAGATAGGAAGAATAATCCCAGGAAGGTGTACTTGGGACACATTTAGGGATGGGTGCCCCATCACATGTCACATGGGTCACCTTTTCTAACTGTAATAAAAGCAGTCCAGAAAATATACTCCTTATCTTGGCCTTAACCCACCCTGATGATGGGCAAGATATTGAGCAACGATGTTGGAAACAGGACAAATCTAAATGCCATGAACGTGAGGTATTTCAGAGTCAGAAGAGACCTTTTGAGATCACACCATTCTACCTTCTCATTTTACAGATGTGAAAACAGGCTCAGATAGATGTGATAGACTCATGTCACAGAGCAGGTCCTCCCTCCATGATCAGGGCTCTGCCTATGGTCTCTCAGAACCATGCATCTCTGGAACTGAATCTTCATGGATTTCCAAATGGTCAGTGACCAAGCCAATCTGGTTTCGCCTTGGATGCTGGACTTATGATGGGTCCCTCCAAGTCTGGACTCTGCCTTTGTGCTGAGCTAGAACCCTGGTGAACAAAAGTCACTTTCTCAGGAGACCTCAATACTCTCAAGTCCATTCCTAGAGTGTCCCGAGGCCCAAGGGAAACCTTGAGCGACCCTGAGCCCAGCAACTGCCCTCAGGTCAGATGAAGTGAGTACATAGAGAGTTAGTCTGAAACCTTCTCCATAAAGCTGCCTGGAGTCCCCAGGTGGAAGATGTCATTCATCCCACTCTTTCAGTATCTTCTTTGTCCCTCTTTTGACATCTGCTTCATTCTATCCTGTCTGCAACACAGTACTTACATTCAGCTAAGTTTTGGAAACTAATGAACACACCAAGCTCCCTCTCACACCTAGAACAATCCTGAGAGTGGATGACCAAGGCTATGCTCCCATTAAACAGCCTATCAAGGAGAGAAGTAAGGGTTGTGGGGTCTGGACCAAGTAGGGAATGTTGAGGGATCATTCTGACCAGCAAATGAAGGACCTAGCAGAAAAGGACAGTTCCTGCTCTTGCAGTGGGAATAGTAATGCTGCACTGCACCCTTGGAGCCCTGGCAGGTCTCCTGGAGCCAGACATCTGGCTTCAGGCCAGCTGGAGGCACTGGATCCTCTCCCACTGGGAAAAGCTGACATACTCCTCTTACATCCACTCCCTCTAGCAGACCTGCAGGCTCAGTAAGTTTCTTGGCACA